AGCATCAAATAAGTGTGTCCATTCTTTTTACCATTAAAGATTTCTATTCTGAACAAATAAAGAATAATTTCCATCTCCACTGGTATCAGATGGTAACCAGTACTTTTCGCTGTCTGTTTGCTCTGGGATAATTTTCTCTGCTTACCCAAATCAGATATTCCTGCATTATCTCTCCACTCATCCAAAATGATTAACTACACCTTAATGTCTTCTTCATTTTCATTATCTTTATAATTACTGAACCTTTGGAAAACCTGGGAGTACTGGACAGTTGTTTTGTCAAAGTTTGAGACTCTCAAGCAGTACGCACCCAGCGGGGTTCAAACTCAGGATCTTCCAGAAGCGAGGCGAGTTCGTAGACCACTAAGCCACCGGGACCTCATCCAATGGTCCATAAATTCCAACTTCTGCCAATTGGTGACATATATTTAGTGCAACCGCCAGTAACTGTCCTCCTCTGATGTCAGCTCGTGATGAATCCTCAGACCAATCAAATCTTCGCAAACTAACACTTGATCTTTATAGGTGCTTGTTTATTCACAAATTAGAATTTACATCCTCTAAGGTGTAACGATATTCAGATTCCCTATGAAGGAATTTTTATTTGTGATTTTGAAGGCTGATGAAAGATTGCTGGCAGGATCCAGATGTTTTAACTGTATACTACCTGTACTCTATGATATCAGTAGTTTACAGAAATTAATAAAATGAGGAAAATCTCACTTAAGTGGAACTGGCTAATTCGCTCTCACTTAAATCGTATGTTTTGATTTTGGTACTTAATATTTTGAGAATTAAAAGTTTAAGCACTTCCATCTTCTTTTAATGGATACCTTATCAAGACGTTTATCTGAATCTGAAAAAATGATCTAGGAAGATTCAGGCTAAAGTTATCACTATTTAGTGTTAGTATTTCTAGATAATATGGGTCAATTCAGTTTTTCAGGTGCTTTAAATGTACGAAACTAATAAGTCTCAACAAGTATTAACTGAAGCCTAAGAATTCACATACATAAACATCGTAATACCGAGTTATGTCACAGTGACCTTGGTGAGACTTTAACTGAAAGAAACAACGTGATACCACTGGTTACTATCCAGTGACGCTGAATACATAGGAATCCAATGATATACAACCTTTTTCAAGGGTTTGGTTTGTAAGGATTAGATTTATTTATACGAGTTTGACCACGGATTGATATCAGTTAGAGAACCATTGAAAACCAGGGAGTACTGGACAGCTGTCTAATCCTAGTTTGGGAATCATCGGCAGTACGCACCCACTGGATTTCGAACCCAGGACCTTCCGGTTACAAGGCAAGCTCAGGTTCCGGTGGCTGAATGGCATATGACCTTGCCTTGTAACCGGTAGGTCTCTAACTGATATCAATCCGTGGTCAAACTCGTAGATACAACCTCTGAAAGCTCATATACTAACCATTTATGACTTGATAAGATACCAGACTTTCGACTACTTGAAGTATTAGGACTTAACAACGTGGAAGTTATCAGTAAGTAAAACCTATTTCTTGCAGATGTAAACTGTTCGTCATCAGAGATAAATGCCCTTAGAGAAAACTATTCCAAACCTATATAAATTGTGAATGATTCCACTGAGGCCTTTTATTTTTTACAAGTTGATAATCATTATTAGAATCCCGAAATTTGATTGTTGCTGAATGATTTAACAAGTTATTTTTTTATTATTTTATTCCTTTGCATCCCCAGTGGAGCATATAGCATCAATCTAGATCTCCAGAGGTTTCAGTAGCATTAGTGTTTTTTACGAGATGAGGTTTCCAACCTCACTCTCAACCCCCTATCTTCAATGGGCTTACCACTGGCTAGCTTAGACAAAGCATTGCTCTGGAAGGGGATAGAACCCTCCACCACCTGCTTGGCTGGCCTGTGTCCTACCACTGAACAGTCAACGTAAGATTTCCCAAGTATGTAGTCGAAATAAGGAATATGCGACAGAACCTGTTGCAGCTTAACTTTGCAGTGATTCGATGGATTACAAAAATACCTAAAAAAGGACTAATAGCTGTAGAAACTATTTGTACCTGTTACCTAGACCATTTAGTAACCAGAAATGATACCGAAGTTTATTCTGAAAAAAATTAAATACCAAATATATAATGCCATAAATAATTTCTTAATGCTTTTATCGCCGGAAAAGTTAAACCACTCACAAAAAATATTACCACTTTACTACATTTACTATCTATCGGAATGTAAATCTTATTTTCAATTCGAAAATCATTTTCGTGTAGGTGTAGTAGTAGGCTGAAGTGGAATAACTTTTATGACAGCATTTCAACACGAAAGTCAGCTCACTGAAGACAAATGTTGTCAATAAATAAACGTTCATTCCTACTAAATGTAGGGCGATAAATTTATGCCTAACCAAATCCCTAAAGTTCAAATGAATGCGTAGTCTTTGTCATTATTGCCTGTCAATATATCAAACAAAGTGACTGTCAGATAAGATAAATCTTTATACACAGAAAAAGTGCTAAAAAGTGTGACTGGTTTGAGGTAAATCAAAACAGCCTAGATTTAAATAAAAATTCACATTTTTAAAAGCTTTAATTCACATAGGATACTGACAATTTGTAAATACCGCGAAAACAATTTATACGCGCCTACTCTAAATCTGATATAACTTTCCTTTTTGACATGAAAATTAAGAACTTGTGGAAACAGAAAATTGTTATATAAATCCTAAAACAAGTTTATTTTTTTTTACATTCACATTAAATCACAATCACTGAAGCGGTGGAATTGGTTAAATAGATAGTGTCATAGATAGATAGAGTAGAAATTATTACTAGAATACAGAGTAAAATAATGATGAATGGAATATTAAAACGTTTTTATGTTGTTTGCATGACAATTATTTATCTGAATGTGTATACAAAATTGGATGATGAATATGAAATATAAACTGATTTCTCAATTTAATGATGTTGATAATGGAAAATTTATCATGAAGGAATTATTATTACTATTATTATTACCCTTAATTCAACACATCATGTTGAAAAATGATCAAACAAAACATGATATACCTCATTGCGTCTTAAGAGTAGTTGAAAGGCATACAGTGATGCTTACTGGACACTCGAGCAGTTGAATCATTAAGATAACGTAAAACACTTCTAAAAATTCCTTTTGCACAGTCCCTGCATACGGAGTGTAACATAGGGTTTCATGTTTTGAAGTCTCAGTAGCAGGTGTTTTTTTACGGGGTAAGGTCATTGGCTTCACGCACAACTTTCTTTCCTTTTTGGGTTTACTACCTTCTAGGTGTGGTTTAGGCGAGTATCGATCAGGAATAGGACCCAGAACGCTTTCGTTGCTGACGGGCATTCTACCACTGAAATATCGGTAGACTTTAAAACTCTCAATCCAACTAATCAGATACATTTGTCCAAGTTAATTTGTATTTCCTATTGCTTGATTTATATTGAACTGAAATGCCCCATATTTAATGGTTAACGTGATGTCATTTGGTTGATATGGGAGGAAAGGGTAACTCTCCACTGAACCCCTTTTCTTTTGTATGATGTACGTTTTTTAATTATTATTATTTCATGTTTCTCGTCCATTAACCATAATAACACGAAAGCATAGCTACAATCGTCTTTTTGTATCTCCAATAATCTTATGTGTATATTCCATAATTATTACTGAGTAATAAGTTTGGAATGTTAGAGTTCTATCTACTGATAGAATACTATCTATCGAGTTTGTAGTGTGATCATTACGATGAAAAACGCTTGGATAACAATATATTACTGCCAGTCACCTCATAGTGCTCACAGAACTTCCTGAATTGATTCGTATAGTTACATTAACGAACATTCTTGTGCTGATATTAAGGGTATTAGTAGGGGTGCTTTTCTTCTCTAAGGTATTGTAGCTACGTTTTTCCTAATGCATTTACCTATTTGATGAGCAGAGACGTATTAACCAACCTATTCTTCCACTTATTCATGTTAATTCAAGCAAATGTGACTCTATTCCACTAGATTTTATGATTATAACTTCCTGAATTTAGTCGTAGCTAAATTTTACACCCTGATGACGTGACTGATTTTGATTAAATGACAAGACTAATCTACATGCTGTCATAACGGGTATATGATAATGAGTAGACTGCATTATTTTGTTTAATAAGGTCAATAAAATCCTTAAATGTTCATAGCTTATCTTTGAGTAAGTTGGCCACTATGTCTGTCACCCTATTTCTCTACTTAGCAGAAATCATAGGTTGAAATTTTTATGTTTTATTCTCATATAACATTACTGTGGAGACTTTCATTTTCCTACTAGTCGTGTTCAGCTGAAAAATCCTTTTTTTCACTGACTTTCTGTGTTTATGAAATCATCTACTGAATAAAATAATGTACTCTGGAAAGTTCAACTCTCATGCTGAACACAAATGTTTGGTAATATAATGAAGCGTAATGGGATCATAAAAATGAATATGACACTTATGATTATGTTATTCTTATACATAGACATATTTGTTAATTTTAACGAAATAATGTTGCCGACCTATACTACTTATTAAAAAGCCTTTACTTTTATTTCTGCAAGCAACAGGTACATAAAACAGTGGGAAATGAAGTGAAGTTCATGAATTTTGAATGGACTGTCAACAAAATTAACACATTCTGAAATTATCAGTACTCAAGATGAAGAGTATTTAAATGTGAGTTTAATATTTTGTACTGTGAATTGCAATATTTTCAATAAATTCTTCACTAACATTGTAATCATTATTTTCTAAGATTATTACAACTGGTTATCATAAATTAGAATCTCCTCTCATCAGGGGATCAGGGAAAACAATGCAAATGATGCTTAGCATAAGTATCATATCCATATCAAGGGTAGGGATAAGAAAAAAATAGATACTTTGCCTTGTAGATATGCAGTTGTCACTATAAATTCCGAAATCAATAACCAAAAAAATAGGAAATTCTACTTACTTGAATCACGTGTTCCAAATGAGATGAGACAACCATCCGATCCATTCACTACAGACTGAATGATGTCAGTTAGAGCAAATGCACACAGTTCCGCCTATAAATAATATAAAGGAAAGAGGTGAAAATAATCTTATGAGAAAAGCCATTCACGCTTGACAATTCACGTTTTTAGTCTACTGATTCGCTTGTCAGTATGAGAATTGAGTTTTCTAAAAAATTGTCTTCTTTAAAAATTATTAGGAAGTGTTTTTGACAGAAATTGACAACATTAGAAAAATCATACAGCAATGCGTTAGCAGTAGACATTTGTTACGTTTTAATTTAGAGATATCACACTAACATGTATGTGTAATTCTCTTGAGGATAGAGTCAAGAAACTTTTGCTTTCTCATGGTAGTAATACAAAAACAAGTATCATGGTAGGCAGACAGGCAGATAGATACAGACAATGATGTAGAACGCCCAACACGTATACGAATACTGTCATGATATAAAATAACTCAGTGTGACAAAAAAAGTGAGGATTAAAACTGATAACCAACACCCAAATATGTAGACAGTGAAAGGAGAAAATAGACAGTAAATGCTTGTCTATCATTTTGTGGGGAGATAAAGTCTGGAGACTGTTGCATCTGTGTGAGCGGTGCTCAGACATAGGGTCTATTACGACTTTCCGTAGACATCATGTAGATCATACTATATCAACTTATTTTCCTCTAAGTCCTTCAATAAAATATTATGAAAAATGTATGTAGCTGTCACATTATATCTAGTAAGCAAATTTGGACAACACTTAGTTACCTGGAGGCAAACGACAGGAAGCTCTGAAGCTAGGTCTCCTACTTATTAGCACTTGTCAGCAAGGTGCATCCGAAACCTTCAATGAAATTGATACCTTCAATAAGATTTGATCAAGCAACACGCACCGCTACAGTCAAAGACTATACCCCTGAGCTTTCCTTAGCTCACTATTGTTCTCCTTTAGGATTGTGACCTTTACACTGACACTTCACTGGTAAGAACCCAGTATGATGTGTAGATTTCCCAGTAGCACTCCTTAAATTTCTTGACCAGGAGTATTACTAAGGCTTCCAGAGGATTGCCTTTAACCATTTCATAGTAATTTAACGTGCACCGTTACAGTAGGTCTCTTAACTTGTTGACTATATTGGAAACTTCAGTATCATAACTGAATAAGGACTTGATGTGTGAAAATGTTTACTCCCCAGTGATGAAAGAATGTAAAGCGTTAGATATTCTTACACTTAACTCATACACTGGAGCTAAATTTCACTATTTCTATTTATCCTACTAATAACACGAATCTTTTATTGCAAAATAAACTGCTCATACTAGTAGATTAGATATTTCTGACTGCAAAATAGTATAGACGATAAATTAATTTATACTTTTAATGATAATGCTTGCTGTCATCAATACAGATGCTGTTTAATTGTAGCATAAATCGACTGACTTACCATTGAGTCTTCTTCAGTGAAAATTCCATCCATTGCAAAAAGTTTCGGACCATGCATATTTGTGCGTTTTGGTGATGTCGATGATTCATTGGTGTTCACATTTGGATCATTTAAACAAACTTGATTTTTGCGTTTTTCTATTGTTAAACAAGATGCCTTCTGAGTTTCTTTGTCTGTTTCATGATCTGAATGTAATTGCAATATCACTTTGACCTATGAGTTTTGAAATAGAAAACACAAGTTAAATATTTTTTTTAAAATCAAAGTTTCAACGCAATGTAGAATACTGCTTAAAAATTAATGCAGTCAAAATAAAATGTCTGTCACCTTTTCACATCAAAATCGGAGCAATCAGACGAGCGTATACATTGTAATTTCGTAATATTATATTATTTATTGATATTATTCCCTTGCGTTCCGAGTGGAATATAAGGCTTCAACAAAACATCTCCACTTTGTTCTGTTTTCTGCCGTCCTCTTCAGCTGAGTCCACGATTGACCAAACTCTCTCATCTGTCCCTCACACGATCTCCTCCATGTCACCCTAGGATGACCTACTCGTCGCTTCTTATTGGGATTCCGCTCGAGGACCTGACGTGCGATGTCATTCGGCGGCCTCCTCAATGTATGCTCGATCCATCTCCACTTTCTCCTACATATTTGTTGAGCGATCGGCTCTCGCCTGTTGGTTTGTTCCCATAGTTTCTTGTTGCTTATTCTTTCTGGCCATTTGATCTTCAGTATGGGGTCAGCCAGCAAAGGAAAGCTGTTGGTAAAAGTCTGCAACCTGTTGGAAATCCTTTTCGTAATATAATCAGAATATGCTCATCACTATTTTATAAGTATTCATGGCATATAATAAGAGATGAGCGAGTGCATGTAATGCAAAGTCTTCTATTTACACGTAGAAGAGTGATACAGACACTTTCATTTTAACCAAGTAGCACACACCAGTCCAAAAAGGCTTCGGTTCGAATCGTATCTCCACTAAGCTACTTTACTCTAGCAACTAACCAACCAAGGACCTATCTCCCAAAATATGCTGAAGAAAGAGTGGGGGTGGACTGATAGCAGATCAAATCCTATCAGTCAAGTTTGCAATGTGGCCACCATGCTAGGTGGCTGGACACCATGGTGCGCTGTGAATTGTTGTTGTTATATGGTTGGAGGCAATCGGCATGAGTTCCATCAAGACTGTAGATACGCCTTGCAGACTGGTGAGTGCCGAGAAGCACAAAACCTAGGTCTAAGACTTCCTGTCGATTGCCTCCAACCATCTGAAAGTGCACCATGATGTCCAGCCACCTGGCATGGTGGCCACATTGCAAACTTGACTGATTGAGTTCGATCTGCACCAAAAAAGGACTAGATACATGACACTAGTTACAAACTAATGTCCCATCAAAGCAGTACGTCATTCGATGAAGTTTGACTCTATCTGCAACATTCATGGACTCCCGTCATATTCTTCCTTTCAAAGCAAATTAAGTCGTATGTTGAAGGCCATTCAAAAATGCACGTGAATACGGATTATTCTTCATGGATGCCTAAATAGGTGGTTAAAACAAATTACAACTAAGTGAATTCGACGTACTGTGTCCCATTTAAAATTAGGTAGCTCACTGATTTAAGCAGGCTGCCGTCATATAACCTACCAAGATTTCCCTACTATGGTTATTATACGCAGAAGCGTGACAAGTACTTTAATAAAATACTAGGTGAATATTTAACGTCCCAGTAAAAATTATACGTACGATGTAAAATAAACGAAAAAAATTTCACGAAAAGCTTTGAAAAACTTCACTTTTCTCCACTCACTAATTTAATTAGCTGATATTCAAGTGAATCACTGAAGTAGAATCTATAAACACTACTAATTAGGCTAAAAGTTAAATTCATTAGGTAAATGTTTTTTTTTCTTAAATTTTTTAAAGAAAGGATTCAACTAAATCAACAAAAATTAATTATAATCATTAGCTACTGTAATATAAGATTTTAAAGCAATCGATATTTTCAATCATTTCTGATGATTAGTCCAATGTTTCAATTTTTCATCAAAATACTCCTAAGATTTATTCAAATTCGAGGTTCATTTGAAATAGGGCAATATAATTATAATATTGGTCGAATCCACCCAGGAAACCGAAAGTTTCACTTACTTTTCCAACTCTATTATTGATTACAGTACTGTTGGAACCATTTCGACCCCATTTTAGAAGAGTTGGTGGCATTGGTGGTGGATGATGATGTACAGCTTCTGAAAAGCTTGTTACACATTTTGAATGTTGATTATGACGATATGACTGGGAATTGATGTATCCAGTCAGATGACTTATATCACAGGCATCATTATGCGATGATTTACGCTTTCGTTTTGAATTACTTGTAATTGTAAGTTTTTGACCAGCTCTGTTGACAGGGGAAGAGAAGAAAAAAGATACACAATCATAAATTGGTGATGCACAATCTTCTATTCATATTCACAAGGTGACTTTGATGTTTCTTGGAGTAAGTGCTTTAAGTTAGAGATTATAAAATGGTAGTTTCAGCAAATTTCGATCAATGTAAGTTTCCGCTGTGCGTCAGTGGTTGAGGGGTAGAATGATCACCAACCACAGAGAAGGTTCAGAGACCAATGCCTGGCCAACGCATCCCCAAACGCTGGCTAGTTTACTAGACAACATTAAGCTCGGAAGGCGGAGAAGGTTGAGTGTGCAGCTACTAGCAACACCACAGCCCCTGAAACTACAAAACTTCATGTCCAAGACCCTATATTCCTCTTGGAAAGCAAAGAATGAAGAGAGTTTCTGACAGTCTAACTTAAGATCGTGAATTTCAGCTACATTTGAAATGATCTATCTGGTAGATAGTCAGTAACATGTAACATATCCTGAAGTCTTAACATTGGATGTTTCTTTAGAGATCTATCTTCATTAAATCATGTAGCTTTTTACTTCTTGTATACATCATATCAACTGATTAGTTATTAGGCATATTCCATGAACATCAATGTGGGTATTTTACCTACTATTTAGCTGTCAAAGATGTATAGAATGCTTGGTTGTATTACACTCATACAGTCTATAGACTCACTAATAATGAATGGTCACACTGTTTGAAATTCAGTCTTACAAAGGCTGCTGACTTGTCTACGTCATTGGGTCAACAGAAGGTAATCGTATTTCCTTCACTACAGGTCAAACTGTCTAATTTAATTTATTAACGTCACTAGTATACAATAGTGAGAAATATCCAGAACATTTCTAAATGTTTCTTTTGATGTAAGGTAAGATATCATTTAGGTTTCTCAATTTTTAGTCTGGACTAGATCTCTGCTGTTTCTTTCAAATTTTAGATTTCACTTTATCATCTTGTATAATAGGTATACAGTAAATTTACTGTTTATCATCTTGTAGTTTTTGAAAGCCAACTGCAAAAACGGAGGAGACTATATTGTCAGTAAAATTAAAAATTCAAATTATTTTTCAAATTGATAAGTCAATACATCAAAAAATAAAACAGACAGATTTTGTTTTAGAAGCCGGTGATTAGTGAAAAAATTAAGTCAAGATTTTTGATTGCTTTGAGATGGCTGGTAGTGGATCACACATTTCAAATTCGCATTGTGATGTAGACTAATTGATGAACACTTCTGGAAACAACTAATTCAGTGTTTTGTAGTAGCACACCCCGTCAAAACAAGCCCATCGCTACTGAACCTTGAAAGCACTGAAAATATAATCTCATTATCCACTAGAATCGAAGACGTATGACACGAAGGGGTGGAAGTCTTTGGGAAGCCAGTCAACTGATGCGTCTTCTTTCGATTAACACAAAAATAAGCATGAAAACATGGAATTTTCATCCGATTTTTGAAGCTAGAATGGTCGCTGAGATTGCAAAAGAAATCAGAAGATATGCTACCGAAGCGCCAGAAATCTGTGAGAGTAGATGGAATGGAAGTGGACTCTCCATATTGTTAACTGGAGAGTCAGCACTCTACTCCAGTCATCCAGATTCAGGTCAAAGGAAAGAAATTTACAGTTATAGAATGCTAAGCACCAACAAGAGAAAGAAAGACAGATAACTGCAATGGAAAAAAACTCTGATGGTAACACCAAAATTCTAACGGCAATGACACACAGGGCGCCAACAACACAGCAAAAGAACACATAACGTGTCCAGATGCTTTCAAAGAAATGAATGAAAACAGAGAAATCTCCGCAGAATTCTGTGACTTCAACAATTTGGTAACTTGAGGCAACGTTTATAAGCACAAGGTAACATAGTTTTCATCAGACGGAAACATCGAAAATCAGATATACTTCATTTCAACCTCAAGAAAGTGGAGACTCAGCCTGCTTCACACAGTTGAGAAGGGGATCAGTTGTAGATTCAGATAACTATCTAGTTTTAGGTACTTTCAAGATAAAGTTAGAAGTCTTCACGGAATCCGGGAGTAGGTCACAAATCAACTCCGATGCTCAGAAACTCAAGGATGAAACCACAAAGGTCACACTCACCCTATAATCCACACGAAACGAGAGGACTCAACAATAATGTTTAATGTACACGAATGTCTTCTTAATCGATAAAGTAAATCCTCCAAAATGTAGGTCATACGTTATCTAGCTTTTGCATGATAAGACAAAGTAGCGACTAAAATATTTCAAAAGCTTCAAGTGTTGGTTTGTAGGGAGTTGATTGGTTACAGGATTTCCATCATGAGCTGACATTAGTTAGAGAACATTTGGAAAACCTGGGACTACTGGACATCTGATTCGTCCTAGTTTGAGACTCTTCATCAGCACGATCCCACCGGGATTCGAACTCAGGGCCTTCTGGTTACAAGGCGAGCTCTTATACCATTAAGCCACTGGGACACGATCCAATGGCCTATCCATGAATTCTAACTTCTGCCAATTCACGACATAGCGCGACCCCTAGCCAATGTCTTCGGCGAGTATTTGTCCTCAAACCCGACCTGCGTGCCCTACTGGTCACGACTTCTCACTAGAACCCCAGGCAACTACCTACCTGAATATGGCAAGTCACTAGTGAGCGCCTCATTGATATTCAAGTGTTGGTTTGTAGGGATCTGATTGGTTACAGGATTTCAAAAGCTGTTTGTTAGGTGTCAAGCAAAATGATTTTGATTTGTATTATCGCCTAGTCAGTAGGGTTTGATTGTTAAACATCTTCTTTAGCTTTAATAAACCTGCTGTTCTGTCATATGGGAGGAGAATAAGTTGTAAACACGACGCCAGTGTTTTCATCAATTCAATTTTAAGAATTAATTATTCAGTCAGTTATAATGTTTAAAGAGCAATGAGATGAGGATTTTAAGCTATTGATTTTTAAAGTAATCCATCAAACCACGTTCAGTGTTCTTCTGAAAATTTAAAAGGGAAGAGAAATATGTAGATTATAGTTTCATGGAAGGCAATAGTTAGCAGTCATAAGATTAGAATATTAGTAGATTTTTTTTACTTGATTTCAGCCATGTTACTCAGTATCGTTTAAGGGATCAATTTTATGCATATTTGATGAGAATGAATATTGCGCTGCTTTCCAACTAGCTGCTTTCTCGTTTCTGATTGTTTTGCAAATGTTGTATATTGGAAACCAGTCAGTTAGTCAGTCTGCCACCCTGAACTTCATCAGAATGAATGCACTCTTAAAATATACAGCACACTTCGATTCTCTGTATTTTTATATTATTATTGTATCCTTTAATTCCTACAGGAACATAGGGCTTCAGCCGTGCGTCTCCATTGCGTTCTGTTCTCTGCTGGAGTCTTCACCTGGCTCCATGTCTGCTCACACGTTTTCATCTCCTCTTCACATGACCTCCTCCAAGTCACCCTTGCACTGACGACCAACTCGCTGCTTCCCTTTCGGGTTCCACCCGAGCAATGGCTTGTCTAGTGATGTCACTTGATGGTTTCCTCAGAGTATGGCCAGCCAATCCATCTCCATTTCTACCTGCATATTTGTTTCACAATCGGTTCCTGCTGTGTTGGTTCGCTCATTGCCAGAGATCTCTGTTGCTGATATTTTCTGGCCGGCCATCTGATCTTGAGTATTGAGCAAAGACAACTGTTAATGAAGGTCTGTAGTTTGTTTGAGATGCTGTTTATGACGTGCTGGCCAAGTCTCTGATCCGTATAGTAGCACTGTCTGACTTCACAATGGAGTTGAAAATCCGGATGTTATTTTTGATGCTGAGCAGTGCTGTTGACCTCCACACAGACTTGAGAGTAGTGAAAGCTTGTCTTGCTTTTCCGATTCTTGCTTTGATATCCTCGTCAGTTCCGCCCGCCTGTAGTTGAAAAGATGCTTCCCAGGAAGCTGGTAAAAGAGGTTGTTTCTTTCAGGTTCCTCCCATTTATGCTGATTGTTGTCAGTTGTTGTTGTTGCTGTTGGTGGTGTTGCCCAGGAATTTTCATCACCTCTGTTTTCTCTATTTTCAGCTGAAGTCCCTCCTATCTTTGATGCTTCTTATGCCAACTTGTTGCTCTTCGCTTGCATATCTTCCAGTTTGTGGGAAATCAGACATATATCATCGGCGAAGTCCAGATCCTCCAAGTTCTTTGTGTGTGTCCATTTTATGCCTGTTTCCTCAGCGTTGTCTTACTCCTGTCCTCACTTCGAAGGGTTCCGTGAGTTTCCCGTTGTGGATTACTTGGCATGTAGCATTGTCGTACAGCTGTTGGATGAGATGTATAACTGTCGGTGGCACCCCGTAGTAAGTAAGTTGGTTGAAATAAATACAATCCAAAACCTCCTATTAAGGTATTTCAATTTCAAACAGTCTTTAGAGGAATGTGTTATACAGATCAGTTAAGGTTTTGCAGTTAGATTGCCTTCCGTTTAGAAGCAACTACTATGGTTTTGGTTCCTGTTTTGTTAATTTTTCTGTTTGGAATAAGGTTTTCAAGCTGAAATACTGTATATGTATATTCCGACAGCAACTGAATTAGTCTGTTACTGATGTGAGGCTGTAAATCAAGGATAATCATAAATAAGTTGAATACTGGATGTTAACGAGTACTGGAGTTAAAATCAAACTTCTGTTTGATTTCAGTCAACTTTTGAAACGGTCAAAAACCTACATAGCTGGGACATGAAACTTACTTTAATCTAGATTCCTCGTTTTCTGGTAAGCCTAAAGGCTTTCGTGTATGTGTATCATTCAGCACTGTTACTGGTATTACTAATTTACTACTAAAAATGGCTTAAATGCATGTATAATCCGGCTGATGATAACCTATAAGGTTACCTGGTCCTCAGTTCACGGGATGTACCATTAGCTTTTCCATTGTTGGATTTTGTGGATGAGACTATTTCTATCACAAATTGATACCATTTAAAAACACCCATTAAAAGTTAGAGAGACGTTTGTAGCG